CAGCAAATGCGGGGGGCCCCATCTCCCTCCTTTAGTGCAGCTTCCTTTCCTTCTTTAGTTTGCCTGTTGTGCCTCTTCGTTTCGGAAGTGCTGCTCTCTAGCCTTCCTATCTCTATAGACAGGAACCGGCTCTTCAGGAACTGCCCCTCCTTCTAGCCAATCCCCGCTTAAGCTGTTGCCTTCCGCCAATCAATCCCAGCCTCCTTACTTTCATTACCCCAAAACTAGGACCCATTAAAAGCTTCCGGGATGTGCAAAGGTGGGTTCTATTTTTTTTATTTTTATTTTATTTAATATAAATAGAAAAGGCAACATAATCAATATCCATATAAACAGTGTGTTGTCTGTTTACAATTCTTTTGAGTAGTAGTAGTAGTAATAGCTATTTGGAAATTCTAAATTTATCAGACTTGAACATTCTGATTCTACAGAAAACCGCCCTACTTGGAACAGCTGATATCCTCCGACGTTACCTTAACAGTTCCTGGGTCCTTGGTTAGGACTCAAGCTGTTGAGCTACCAACCAGCCCCAAAGGCTGTGAATCTCACCAAAGATTAAACACATAATAAATATAATAAAACTTGGCCATCGAAACTACACGGCTATGGATGAAACATGTAACAGTGATACCCATTGTCATCGTGGCACTTGGCACCATGTCCAAGAATTTTACAAGATACATCAACAAATTGCAGCTTCCTGCAGTAACACCAGCAGAACTGCAAAAAACTGCGCTACTCGGAACACCGTATATTTTAAGAAGGTCCTTGGCTGATACCTAGGACGCTGGCAGCAAACCGTACCAACCATTAGCACCAGTCACTGATAATTGTGATGCACTTTTGAATGTTCAGTTGGCTGAATTTCATGTTTAATGAATAAAGTATATAATAAAATAATTTTAAGAAAGTACTTGGTTGATGCCTAGGACACTGGCAGCAACCCGTATCAACCATTAACACCAGTCAGTGGTATTTGTGATACATTTTTGAATGTTCAGTTGACTTGAGTTTCATGTTTAATGAAATAACAACAATAATAATAATATAATGTTGATGATGATGATGTCTGGTTCAATGACATTGCAATACTGGCGGTGAGCGAATTGAAGATAAGCAGCAAGAAAAAAATCACGAAGTACCGGGACTTGCAAATTGAAATTGAGCAACCGTGGAAAAAGAAATCATGCGTTGTTCCAATTGTAATTGGAGGTTTTGGAGCAATACATAAGGGCTACCTCGCTATTTGGAAATTCTAAATTTATCAGACTTGAACATTCTGATTCTACAAAAAACCACCCTACTTGAACAGCTTATATCCTCCGACCAGTGGTGGGGTATGACTGGTATGCTCTGGTATGGGTGTACCTGTGCCTGCTGGGAGCACCAGGTACCGTTCCTGTACGCTGCTTCAGAGGGCCCACCCGCCCACCTATGCTCCTTACCTGTATTTGAGCTGTTCGGGGCTTCTGCGCATGCAGGGAACGGTGCCTGTGCGACGCTCTGCTGAGCAGCTGGAGCATCGCAGAGGCATCACTGGCGTTAAGTACGCATGCGCGCGCTGCACACCCAGCCCTGTTGTACCGTACCTGTTGCTACGGGATCCGGAACCCACCACCACCTCCGACGTTACTTTAACAGTTCCTAGGTCCTTGGTTAGGACTCGAGCTGTTGAGCTACAAACCAGCCCCAAAGGCTGTGAATCTAAACCACAAATAATACTAATAATATCATCTAGTAATTTCATAATGACAGTGCTCTTCCCTCATATTAATACATATCAATTGTTAATACTAATGAAAATTAATAAGTTACAATAAGGAACCCTAATAATGAAATTATTTTTTCTCTTGTAATTTTTTAGAAGTTCTAACTTCTGTTTCTCTTATTTAACCATCGCTGGAACCGATCCCATATCTCAAAATATTCAGTGTCTTCCTTTTCTTTAAACTGAAGTGTTCGTTTGAAAGGCAGCTTCTATTTTTTTTAAAAAAAAAGTTGGATAGTGTGGATAATTCAAGGAGGAAAAGATAAATATAAATCAAACAATCCAACAATATCAAATTCTCTTTAAGAGAGCATTTTTTTTAGAATTTACAGGTAAGATTGGAAAGATCAACTAATGGTTTGAAGATCTGATTACACTTGACGACTAGAAGCAGATTGGCTTATATAGATTNGAAACACTGAGAGCATATATGCACTAAAGACAAAGTGTGTGTCCAATCACACTTCCATTCGTATTCTATTCTATTCCATTCCAATTCTATTCTGTATTCTCTATTCCATCCTATTCTCTATTCTCTTCTATTCCAACTTTGTATTCTCTATTCCATCCTATTCTATATTGTATTCTATTCCAGTTCTATATTCTCTATTCTGTTCCTATTCTGTATTCCATTCCTATTCTCTTCTATTTCAATTCTATTCTGTATTCTCTATTCCATCCAATTCCTCTATTCTATTCTATTCTATTCTATTCCAATTTTACATTCTCTATTCTATTCCTATTCCCTATTCCATTCCTATTCTCTTCCATTACAATTCTACTCTCTATTCTGTCCTATTCTCTATTCTATTCCCTATTTCATTCCTATTCTCTTCTATTCCAATTCTATTTTGTATTCTCTATTCCATCCTATTCAATATTCTATTCTATTCCGATTTTATATTCTCTATTCTATTCCTATTCCCTATTCCATTCCTATTCTCTATTCCAATTCTATTCTCTATTCCATCCTATTCTCTATTCTATCCTATTCTCTATTCTATTCCAATTCTATATTCTCTATTCTATTTCCTATTCCATTCCTATTCTCTTTTATTCCAATTCTATTCTGTATTCTCTATTCCATCCTATTCTATATTCTATTCTATTCCATTCCAGTTCTATATTCTCTAGTCTATTCCCTATTCCATTCCATTCCTATTCTCTTCTATTCTAATTTTATTCTGTATTCTCTATTCCATCCAATTCCTCTATTCTATTCCATTCCATTTCTATATTCTCTATTCTATTCCCTATTTCATTCCATTCCTATTCTCTTCTATTCCAATTCTATTCTGTATTCTCTATTCCATCCTATTCTATATTCTATTCCATTCCAGTTCTATATTCTCTATTCTATTCNGCCTATTCGCCCATGGCGACTCTAGGCGGCTTACAGACTATAAAACCACATTTAAAACAATAAAAGCTAACAAAAAAAAATCAAATAAATTAATATGATATAACGAAATCACCCACCCCTGCCTCGGGACAGCAAACCACCTCAGCCACTTAATGGGCTCCATCCCGCTCTGGGTTCCAGACCCATTGGCAGAACCTTCTGGAAGAGTATTAGAGTGGGGGCCGTTCTAATCTCTGGGGGAATGAATCTTCCAGAGAGAGGAGCCACCACCGAGAAGGCCCTTCTCCTGGATCCCACCAGGTATATCTCCCTCGGGGATGGGACCCATAATATTCCCTGCCTCCCTGCT